TTTTGCAAACAAGTATTGATAACTTGTATTCCAAATAGCCTGTTTGAGCTTTGTAAATGTAACATGTACATGCTCAGACTTTGGATAGACTCAACCAGAATTTGACACAACCACAGCCAAAAGGCAAAGTAAATAACAAATGAAGCATGCAATGGACAATAGTGCAACTGAGAGGAGAAATAGGAACAATAATTAATTGGCTTTGGCCATGTATGCTACTTTTTGTTATATGACGAGCAGGTTCCCGTGAGTAACTGTGAGGCCTGGGCAATTCCTATTTTCTAGTTGTACCTCAGCTCATTGAGCAATGTAAAAAAAGGTAGAACATGGTTCACCAAGTCCAGTCGCTTGCTATCACTGGCAACCCAGAAATATAACTTGCTCTCCTGCTAGCTTTGATAACAAAAGACAAAGAGGTCTGAAGTTCTTGGGAAATGGGCACATTGCAACATGGGAAATAGGAGACTAATTTATATTAGTTTTCCTCCTCCTCAGCTACTTCACAGTTCTCAGATGTGAGGCAGATTTATTTTAGGACTTCTGTGGAAAAATTCTCTTTTGAATAGCTAGGCCTACTGTGGATCTGCAGTCTTATAGGCTTACATGACTCAGAAGGTCATGAGTATTTTGTGCTTGATCAAGCCCTAAATTGCTAAAGTCATTGAGGAAGGAGGGAATGATTGCAGCTGGTATGCATCGCTGGTATAGATGTTTTCAGACTTGCTCCTTCCATACATTCCATAAATGCTTTGTAAATCGGTTCCCATTAAGCAAAACAGCATGTGCTTGGGGATTTCAGTAGTTGATGGAAGAAATTACTTTTAGCCAATCAAGTGAGTTTTAAAAGGGTATGTGTTTCTGTATTATAAACATTACTGCTATGCATCAGAAAACAAAGCCTTAGCTTTCCCCCTCCCCTCCACTTAAGTATATCCCTGCTCTGGAATGTGAGACTTTTTATCCATGGTTTCTTTCATCCTGAAGTTTTTAGTCATGCTACATTGATGGGAACAGTGAAATCAAGTCTAGAATTATAATTTTATTTAATATCAGTAGCAAATTCTGGTTGAGGGTATAGATTGCAAAGAGGTGTTTATTGAAATGAACCTTTTTTCATTATGTAAAGACTTTTTTCTGCTTTTACTCCCCAGGTTAATTAACAGCACTTCCTTTGTATGAAAATTCAGCATCTGCTGAAAACATTCACTCTTGTACAGTATCTGAACAAAGGACTAATTTTAATGACTACTGAAATGCTTTCTCTCATCCCCCTCTTACACAGAATGCTATAAAACAGTCATTCAATTTAAAATATTTTCAAGGTATAATCTAGATCCAATAACCTGTTTTGATTTGAAAAGATTGTTTTGATACATTATTTTTATATTTTCATCTTTCAGCATGCACCATATTTTGTTATACTTGCTAGCTCTATGACCTATAAAAAGAATACATGTACTGTACGTTACTGATCTTTTCAAATTGTGTATTCCTGCCAACTCACACTGACAGAAGCACTAATACCCCTGGACTTCAAACCTTATTCTAATCTTCTGCTATGCTTCTTTCTTAAAGTCTGCTGTGCAGTGTTTATATCTTAAAACCTTCTGATACACTGAGCTGCTTATGCTAACCGCAATTTGTGTTTTAAAATGTTACTTTGATTGTAAATATAATTATAGAGTGATGCCTAGTTTTGTTTTTATATTAGGACATTGTGGAGAGGGTTTGTTAAAATATGTTGAAGTTTATTGGAAAGGCAGGAAAATATCTGCAAACTAGTGTTCTCTAGGGTCAAAACAAAATTTACAGTTTTGCTTTTTTCCCTTATTTTGGCCATAGTCTCCTATTTTGGGCAAGCAGCAATTTGCTTGTGGAAAACAGTGTGGGGGATAAATGCATAGTCAAACTCCATCATCATCCCTTCCCTCCTCATGGGGTCGAGAAGAGAAAGATGCACTTGAACTTCTCTGGCAGTTTTGTTGATACACTTATTACATTAGCAACTTGTTTCTCTTAAACCAAATTGTGAAGTCATTCCTCAGTGTTTACTCACTACTTCAAGAGGATTTTTCCCCTGAAGGACTGAATAAAGAGTTCAGGAATTGGGCCCTTTCTGAATTATCCATAGGCCTATCTTTTGTGGAAGTGTTTAGCTGATGTGCTTGAGAAAAAGCCAAAGATGGAGGAGCTTCTCTTCTCGTCTCGTCTCTTCTCTTCTCTTCTCGCCATTAAAAAAGAGAGGATCCAAAGGGTGGGGGTGGAGAGAGAGAGTACTGAACAGAAGGATGGAGCACAACATTGCCTGTTAGTCCCAGACCACAGAAACACAAATTTCCTTTTCACATTTTTTAGTGCTCTGCACTCTATTAGAAGCCTAAAAGAAATCTTGCTAAGATCATTGAGGTGCACTGTTATTAGCTGGAGTTCAACTCCTGGCTTGACAGTTCAAGGACGGACCACACAGTTTACTGCATTAGTGAACCAACTTTATTGCCCATTAAATGGCTGTTAAACCAGCATCAGGGCAGAAAAGATATATCTTGTATGTGTGTTTTGTCTCAAGTTGATAATTAGACAAAGTATTTCCTTTCAAAATTCATGATGTTTTAAAAATACATTTCATGATTGTAACAGAAAAGCACTGAATTTAATTTACAGTACATTCTTATTACATGTACAGTACTTCAGATAATTTGCTTATGTATTTCGGATTTTCAGTTCCAGAAAGTCTGTAGTTTTTTTTTTACTTCTTTGCATGAAAAATATTATATTGAACTCTGATTTTTGACTTCCAGTCACAATTTTGGATTCAACTGTTAGCCTGTGGTAGCTGTGCAGATTATTTTTAGTGTTTATAGAGTAACATGTTAATTACAAAAAACATTATGAAGAACGAAAAAATGAAAACTTTTTGGGGAAACTGCATCAGACATTCCACATGCAATCCTTCCCATCACAACTTTGTTTCTTTTCTATCTAACTGCCCCTTAAAATCTGTCTTATATCTGTGTGTTTCAATTAGCAAAGGGCAGCTGTAGGTATGAAAAGGTACTGAGTGCATTTTCATTCTGCCATTCAGCTTCAGTTGGAAAAGGGATACTTTTATACACTTGCTGGTATTATTTTAAGTTTGTAAAACCCTTTGGGAATAAAAGCCACTCTATAAATGTAAGGTCATTATGAAAAAACTTGGCATTACCGAATAAGGAAGTTGGGTCAAGGCCTCCAAGTTTGAAAGGTAGTTTTATATTCATTGATAGAACCTTTGATGGAGATGCTCATCAACAAGACAAGCTGCCGTTGTACCGAGTTAAAGACCCATGCTGTAGCACATATACCCATTGTCACTCAGGATTTATTCACCCTTTCTGAATAACAGCTTACTGTCAGTATGAGCTACCAGTCCTGCAAAACATAGCAATCTTCCAGTTGACATAAAAGGTCTTTCTTACTCTCCTTGCTACAATGGAGAAAATAAGAACAAAAGCACTTGTTTTTTTGGTTATTTTATGAATTGTACTTTTGCCTTCTAGTCTAAAGCTCAACTGACAGAGCTGTTGAGACATGAATATTAAAGAACTGAGTTTTCCGAACAGAGTCCAATACTGTAGAAACAATTTTGTGCTGTGTCTTGTAGATATCATGTCACATAGCCCAAACTTTCCTTTCAGCCAAATGCAATACTTAGTTTAATTCAGAAATGAGTCTGAACCAAATCTCCAAAACTAACTAATTCTGGACTATTTAAATTAGAACTTGGATACGGATATAAATTTTGCAAATATTCCCACTTTTTTATTATGCTGGCAATTGCAAAAAACCTCCCAGAACTCACTGGCTAAAAACAATACACTACTGCTAGCTCTGAAGAAGTGTGTTTTCAAGGTCAGAAATGATAATATACGGTATGAATTATTTTACAAAAGTATTCATTTTTACATTGTATGTAGGAAAAAATCCATTAGAATGCATATTGATAAGTACAGCACTGGTCCTCCTGCTTCATTTTGGGTTCGTCATTATTCTGAAATAATAATGCGAGAGTCTACATAGCAGTTCCATTATTTTGAAATAAATTCTTAGCTCCTCTCCAGGGCCATTCAAAGTAATTACTCCCTAGTGCCTCCTGGGACTCTAAATCGAGGTAGCGTGTTGACATTAGGGAAGCATGCGTTGGACTAATTTTGAAGCTTCCCTGTAGTGTAGACATGCTATTTCAAAATAAACTATTTTGGAGTATTTCTTCTAGAATAGCTTATTTCAAAACAAGTGTGCAGTGCATACCTTTAGTGATTTGTCTTGAAATAACAAATCATGCAACAAACCAACCTTTTTAGGCATAATAACCTAATATGGATTGAATCCTTCAAACCAATCTGATCAAATCACTCAGGGTATGTCTACACTACCCTCCTACTTCGAACTAGGAGGGTAATGTAGGCATACCGCACTTGCAAATGAAGCCCGGGATTTGAATTTCCCGGGCTTCATTTGCATAAGCGGGGCTCCGCCATTTTTAAATCCCCGCTCGTTCAAACCCTGTGCCGCGCGGCTACACGCGAGTAACGGTAGTTTGAACTAGGAAGCCTAGTTCGAACTACCTAGTTCGTGCCGCGTGTAGCCGCGCGGCACAGGGTTCGAACGAGCGGGGATTTAAAAATGGCGGAGCCCCGCTTATGCAAATGAAGCCCGGGAAATTCAAATCCCGGGCTTCATTTGCAAGTGCGGTATGCCTACATTACCCCGCTAGTTCGAACTAGGGGGTAGTGTAGACATACCCTCACTGGCCATGAGAGGGATGGTGGTGAAGTAGGGGCATTCAGTGATAACTAAAACTAACTAAAGTTGCTTAAATAACAGAATGATGTTATGTAATTTGCCTCTGAAACAATGCAAGCAACCCAGAATCTACAGGAAAAGTAATATACTCAGAAGGTCTCAACAGCTATGAGGAGGAGAGGGACATGACTACAAATTGATTATTTTTATTTATTAAGCACAGAAAGACCGCCCAACAAAACAAAGAAATGGCATGAATCCTGTTTCGAGTAGCTTATGAAGGATAACACAAAACCATAGAAACACAGAGGTATGTTTTTCCTTGTCAAATATATATATTGCTGAAAATCCACTTCTTCAAAATGTACAAATATCAAACCACTGCAGAAAAATGCTGTCACCCTCCCTTATAAGGGGTATTCATAGTTATTATGCAGGTGAGCACTTGTGGAAGAATGGGAATTTTGAAGAGGTATATGAAGGAGAAGGCATAGGGAAGGAGTCCCACTTATAAGGGGCAATATGGAGTAAGTCACTAAGAAGGGGGTGGGAGAAGGTGACAAAGGTATAGATGAAGCAGGATTCACTGGAGTGAAAGCAGTTGAGAAGAAGCAGTAATAAATGAAAGCCAGGATACTAGTGGTTCAGAGATGTGCTGGGTCTTGCAGATAGTATTTGAAGCTTGAACCTGATGTGGAAAGAGAGAGGAAGTCATAAGAGAGATCCGGTGGGAAGTGTCATGGTCTGAGTGGTAAGTGAGGATGTTGATTTTAGCTTTTATTGTCTGAATGGACTGGATAAGAATAAGTTAAGAATTGGAGAGACCAGAGAATGAGCGGCAGTGGAAAAATAGCATGGGCTCAGTTCTGGTGCAGATCATTCAGTCTTATAGAGACTTTTCCGGAAAAGGGATGCAGATTAGACACTTTGGAATTGCAAATCCGCGGGGGATTTAAATATCCCCCGCGGCATTTGCATTTACATGGCTGCCGCTTTTTTCCGGCTTGGGGATAAGCCGGAGAAAAGCGCCAGTCTAGACGTGATTCTCCGGAAAATAAGCCCTTTTCCGGAGGATTTCTTATTCCTACTTTAAAGAAATCCTCCGGAAAAGGGCTTATTTTCCGGAGAATCACGTCTAGACTGGCGCTTTTCTCCGGCTTATCCCCAAGCCGGAAAAAAGCGGCAGCCATGTAAATGCAAATGCCGCGGGGGATATTTAAATCCCCCGCGGATTTGCAATTCCAAAGTGTCTAATCTGCATCCCTTTTCCGGAAAAGGGGTGCAGTGTAGACACAGCCAGAATGTTTATGGAGTTACACTGCTTTGCAGGACTGGTTTATTCTGCTGCGCTGACCTATTACAGCCCACATATCAGGTCCAGGAGTTCTATATATCATATGAGTAAAATTATTAGAAACAACCTACTTGTCTGTTACCTCCTATTAATTATCATGGCCATTTTTAAAATTAAATTGCAGCTTTATTTTCCCAAACGATTATTAGCAAATCCCATTATTTCAGAAAAATGACTTGATGCATCAAGTTTCTTTCTGTTTTTTAGACTGTGTCTATCACAGATACGAAAGTGGACAAAAATAAATTTAACGAGAAGGAGCATCACATAACATGAACTGCAGTCGCATAAAACTGCTATTGTACATAGAACAAATGAATAGCGTTTATATATGCTATTCTTCTCACTGAATGTTGCTGTACTTGTCTGTGGCTACAGACACAGAGAGAAGCACCCTTTAAAAACCAAACATTTTGTCTGTAAGTTCACATAGAATTGCAGTTTCCCCACTTTATTCCTATAACCTGAACAGGCATCATCCTGAAAGTATTTTGGCATGATAGCAGAGTTTTACAACTCTGGTGAAAATAATCCCACTATTGCTCTCACTATTCCCTTGACACTTTCATAAAAACGTTAAACCAAACAGAATCTCCTCAGGAAATTCCTAAACTCTAACCTTTCAGGGTCAGAGAATGCAGCAGACAGTTTGTTGTCATGAAAAGTGACCTCAATACTGTTCTACTCTAAACAAACTTTCAGATGTTATCTATGTATTGTCTCAAGAGACTTCAGTGCTAACCCTTGGAGATCAACAGTAGCACTTTTTGTACCACTTTCTTCACTTTCTATAAAGAATGGCATTTATAAGGAGGAGACCCTTAAATCTAATTTTTTTTAAACATTGTAGTTTATTGATCTGTTTTGTGTAGTAACTGATTATATAAAATATCTCCATTGTAAAATGTTTGCAAAGCTAAATGTGTAGCATGAAATGAGGTCAAATAAGATGTATTATAACACTAAAATCTGAATAATTTCAGACGATCATCAATATTTCTTCCACACAGATAGATATGCAGAAATCTATTAAATACAGTAATGATACTATAGATTAAACTTTTTACTAGTATCTATTGTTACTGTTGAGCTTCATGTAAATACAATTATAGGAAAAATATTCTTTTTATCCCAGGGAACGTATTTCTGAGATGTCAGATTCTTCCTAAATCTACCACTCTTATTGACTTCTAATGGAATATCATGTATGGATTTGAAGAGAAACATTGATCTGTATGTTTATTATTCAAAACAATCCATTCAAAACAGTAACAAAAATAAATTCTAAAAAGCTCTCTAAAAACATCATACAATGTGTCCATTTAATCAAGAAAGTCTGTCAAATTAATATCATGTATGTTGAAAATATATATCATAACAATCACCACCCACAAGGTTTTATTCATTTGGGATAATATAGTTTCTTGGAGAAAAGTTTTAGGTTTTTTGGTAACTCATACAATTATAATTGCTTTGGAAAAACTTCTGTAAATTCTTGAGGCTTCTTAGGAAAACACACTGTCCTAATTTTTGTCATTCTGTGTTAGAAAAGCTACGCAGTGAAATTCCTTGCTGTTTTATACATTATTTTCCTCCCAGAAGGCCAAAACTTAAAGATCCTCAATGCAGTTCCAGCTGTAAAAGCACATCTGTCAGTTTAAATTAGATTGACAGGTTCCTATAGTCAAGGGGCAGACTAATGCCATTAACCTTCTAGCCTGAAAGGAACATTTGGCATTCAGTTTTCAAACATGCTACATACCAACTTCATGTAAAGATGGAAAATGCTAGGTGCTCTATATGAGGGAATGAACAAAAAATGAACTACCAGTGAAAAAATCAAAGACAGACTTGTGGGATAGGGGAGTTTCTTAAAATATTCAAATTTCACTTGATGTACCAGGCAGGCAGAATTTTAAAAATTTTCTACAAAGTGGCAGTTTTTTATATTTCTAGGAATACAAAAAATGTAGTCAATTTAATCTTCTACAGTGTACCTTTGATAGGTCATTTATTTGAGGTTCCTTTGTGCCTTATAGTTACTGGTGTGGGAAGGGAACAGGCTGGAGTTCTCCTGTTTAGGGGCAGAGGAAGGAAGCTCATCCATAGCCACACTCCTTCCTGGCTGCAACATATTCATCTTGTACATTTGGTGTAATGGGGTGAGGACTGGAACCATGTTCTACCTCCTCCTTCTCCATCTCTATCATCTGAAGACATGTCCTGCACACAAAGGGAGCAACCTCTACATTCCTGAGAGCACAGAAAGTTTTAATGTACATGGCTGCCTCACAGGAGTCAATATAGTTATGTCCTCCTACAGCTTGGTGCAAAGTCAAGTGAAAATAAAGTAAAATTCACTCTTTCTTGCAACAAAGCCAAACAAAGCCAGAGTGAACAAGTATTGTGCTTAGGAATAGTGGCTACAGCTTTTCATCCCCTCTGTATGGGAACTGGGCCTCTGGATTCACTCAAGGGAAAGCAAGTGACATCATGCCAGGCTTTGGGCACTGGCCTTAGGGATCAGCAGGGATTCCCCCTTAGGGTATGTCTACACTACAGCGCTAATTCGAACTAACTTAGTTCGAATTAGTTAATTCAAACTAAGCTAATTCGAACTAACGCATCCAGACTAAAAAACTAGTTCGAATTAGTGTTTTGCTAATTCGAACTAGCATGTCCCTGGCTGCACTTGCCGCAGGCTGCCATCTGGGGAGAGGGGGCAATTGGGGGGCTGCAGGAGAGCTTCCACCCCCAGAAGCCTGCAGGACCAGCCCAGTCCTCCCTATCGGGGGCTTGTACCCCATTCCTCCCTCACCTCCTTCCACTTACCCTTCCCTAGCCCCCCTTCTTATTGATGTACAAAATAAAGATAACGTTTCTTCCAACATTGACTCTGTCTTTATTGAACAAAACTGGGGGAGACTGGGAAAAGGAGGTGGGAGAGGGGAAGAGAAAGGCTGGGAGAGGGGAGGGCAACTAACATGATCAGGGGTTGGGAACAGGTCCCAGATGAAGAGAGGCTACAGAGACTGGGACTGTTCAGCTTAGAAAAGAGGAGACGGAGGGGGGACAGGATAGAGGTCTCTAAAAGCAGGGGTTGGGTGGAGAGGGTGCATTCAGAAAAGTTCTTCATGAGTTCCCATAAAGAAGGACTAGAGGACACCAAAGGAAAGGAATGGGTAGCAGGCTTCAAACTAGTAAGAGAAAGTTGTTCTTCTTCCCAAAGCAAATAGTTAACCTGTGGAACTCCTTGCTGCAGGAGGCTGTGAAGGCTACAACTAGAACAGAGTTTAAAGGGAAGTGAGATCAAGTGATGGAGGTTGGGTCCATGGAGTCCTATTAGCCAGAGGGTAGGAGTGGTGTCCCTGCCCAAAGTTTGTGGAAGGCTGGAGAGGGATGGCACAAGACAAATGGCTTGGTCATTGTCTTCGGTCCATCCCCTCCAGGGTCCCTAGGGTTGGCCGCTGTCGGCAGACAGGCTACTGGGCTAGATGGACCTTTGGTCTGACCCAGGACGGCCATTGTAAGCTCAGGGCTCAGGGTCGGGGGTCTCAGTGGACCCCCTTGATTTTCATGCACACCTGCTCCTGGGTGGCCAGGCTGGCACCTCTCCTGCCCTAGACGGCCACTTTCCTGTGCCTAGTGCGGAGATCATGGACGAGGTCCACGATGTCCGCACTAGCCCAGGCGGGTGCCCGCCTCTTGCGGTCCCGGGCAAGCTC